CATCAGTCACTCAGTGCTCCTAGGCCCCAGGTGACCACCGGCCACACTTTCAGGACAGATCCCTCTCCCGGTCACCATCAGTCACTCAGTGCTCCCAGGCCTGAGGTGACCACTGGCCACACTTCCACGGTTGGTCCCTTCCCTGTCATGGTCACTCAGTGTTCCTAAGGGGAAATTCCAAGGGGACCAGCCCTGTCCATCTCCTTTGGTTGAACAGGGGCCCCTGGGAGTGGTATGGGGTCCTAGCATATGGAACGCCGACTGATGAGAAGCCCCGGGAGCAGGCCAAGTACCTGTCATCATACTGTCCCCTAGGGCCTTCCTGAGGAGCCCCGGGAAAGCACAGGGTTGTGAACCAAAAGGTGGGTGGTTCAAATCCATCAACTACCACAGGAGATGATGAGGCGGTCTTAGGGAGTTGGAAGCTCTGGGGTAGAACAACCCTGTCTACAAGGTTTCTGTGAGTCACAAAAAAATAGCAATAAATTTGGATTTTGTTTTTATTGTCCTCATGATGACAAAAACTGAGATTTCCAATAACGTTAAAACACAAAACACGTCTCTATTGGCACCTCCTGTGAGTGCATGGACCCACCTGGTCCCCATCCTCACCCAACCCCTCCCGCGTCTAGCCTGAGGAAGGAACACTTGATTACCAAACCATTGGATATTTTCCTCCAGCAGAGTCCAGAGGAAAGATTACAAATGCTCAGAAGGAAGGAAACAGGAGTGGGGATGTCAAGTCCAAGTGCAGGTTCGGTGTTCACAACCTGACCATACCAGGCCCGGGGGCCAGGGCAGATGTGGCTCCATGCCTTGGCTGACCACCCACTTCCACCTCTGTCACCAGGCAGCATTCGGGACGAGCAGGGGAGTCTTACCAGAGGGCCCAGGAACGTGCTGATGGTGCGCGCGGCCTGGCAGAGGGCACCGTACTCCTCGAGCAGCAGAGAGATGAACTGGTGTGCCTGGGGCGGGCCTTGGATGGCCGAGGGGGCCTTGACCTTGGCCGCAGCGGACAGCTGCCTGAGGAGCCGCACCTTCATCTCTAGCACGTACTCCCGAGCCTGCTGCTCCAGCCGCTGGTACAGCTGGTAGGGGTCCCTCTCGCAGAGCCTGCACGGAAAGGACAGTTAGCCTGGCTGGTCGGGGCCAACGCATAAAAGGGACCAACCCCGGCTATCTGTGAGCAAGTGACCACGAGCCACTCTGCAAGTGTCCACCCAGGAGTACACACACAGTCACCAGTGGATGGATGGACACCAGCAGCTGCCGAGCAGGGCCTGGAACACATACCTTCACCTGCCCCAACAGAGATCCCACCTCCGGCACCTGAGAGACGTGGGCTCACCTTGGGCGAGGTGTCAGAGATCCCACACCTAAACGTGCTGGGTGGGGGCTCACTCTCTGCAGCCTGGCTCCGCGGGCTCTGAGCACTGGGCCAGGACGAAGGAGCCTGAGGGCTGGAACGGGTTAGGGAGCTGCTAACCGCAGACTCAGGTGTTCGAGCTCACCAACGCGCAGGGGAAAGCCTGGTGATCTACAGCCATGCAGGAGACCTCCCAGAAATTCCTGTCCTATGAAGCCGTTCTACCATGTCCTGTAAGAGTCAGAATCCACCCGACGGCAAACAGCAAGAGCCAAAGCAGAGCCAGGCCAACTCCGGAAACTGTCATCATGAAGCATGCGTACGATGCCGGGTAGGGATGGAGCACCACCTCAAGGCCACACGGCGCGCCAGCTCCCCCGGGCCTCATCACCGGGAGGACACACAGTGGGCCACACAGCGTGCTAATCCAGCCCTATGACTGTCGGGTCAATGTCGACGCACAGCGACCCTACAGGACAGAAGCCCCACAGGGTCTGCGAAGCTGTGATCTCAGAGAAGGGAACGGCCTTGTCTTCCTGTCACAGGGCGCCTGGCGAGTCCGGCCTGCAGGCTCGGAGGGCAGTCGTATGCTCTAACCACAGTGCCATCGGGGTTCTTGTGAGGCCATTGTTGTTGATGTTATGTGCCGTCGAGTCATTTGCGACTCATAGTGACCCTATGTACAACAGCCCTAAAC